GAGTAATACTGGTAGGAAGGGACCCCGGGGGATCATTCAAGGCCTGGGTGAGTCAGCTAGGCTCCCTAACCCTGGGAAAACTATTTGCTGCCTTCACTGAGGTTCCTAGTGAGTCAAACTGGTGCCTGGGCTTGGAGGAGGATGGGGACGTGGGCAGGACTGTGCCCTCCAGCAGTGAGCAATTAGATCTGCTCAGCTGTTTTGGTGAACCATGCTCCACAGGCAGCTTCTTTGTTACAGAAAATTGGACAGGTTTTTTACAGCCTCTTACCTGGCAAACAAAGGAGGGCACAGAGGGAAGGGGGATTTAGAACTCCAGCTTGTGGAGAGTCAGTGGTAGGACTGTCATATTTTTCAGTATTGCTTTGACAGGGCTAGATTTCAAATCATTCTTTTTTAAAGAGGCTGATTTGTTTCTCAGAGACAGAAACTCACCTAGCAGACACATAGGTTTTCCATCGGGTTACTCTAGTCTTTTAAATCTTTTCTTGAGGAGTTGCCTCATTTTGGGTAGTCACTAACTCATTTTAAGAGATCACAAGAGGCATTCATCACAGGTAATGCAGCAGCCTGTGGAGGGTGAACAAATGGCGAGTACTTCTGTGACTCTCCCAGACTTGCTCCTGTCTCTTCTGATATGCTGCTGTGGCTATGGAAAATCCTCCAAACCCACTTGGCACCTCTGAAAGGACACCAGAAATCCCACCACAGAGCTGGCTGAGTGGGTGCACCCACCGCCAGCCTGTGCCTGTGCTAGAAAATATACACAGGATAATGCTGGATGGAGGCACAGGTTTAAAAAGGCTGGATTTGTTTTTTTTTTCCTCCATGAAAGAAGAAACCACTAGGCTGAATGAGCACATGCTTTATGGCTTATGCAGAAAAAGCACATGGTGAACATTCAAGGGTTTGCTTTATTCAGTGCCTTCCGCAATAGCTGTACTATGTGCTTCCCTCATCTGCTGCCTTCATTGCTTGATAACTGTAGGAGGGACTGGCTGTCTTACACCAGGTGAAAACTCAGATGAAAACATCTTCATTTGACTTTGGGCTGGATGGTTCAGTTGATCCCTCTGATATTAGGATCCCTAAATCTAGTATCCTCATGTTTGCTGTGGCCCAGTATCCCTGCAGCTCTTGCAGCTCTGAGGTAAGAAGTCCAGTCTTACGCTTCAGGGCTTTTACCATTTGTTTTCACTTCCTTAAAAATACCTCAAGCAACAAATCCATCAGAAATGCGACTTCCTGGGAGGAAAGGAGGAGCCAACCCTTAGGAAACACAAGATTGGAAACCACAGTCCAGACAGACCAGCAGAATGCTTTATGGGTAAACATAAGTTAGATGCTAAGTGGGAGCTTTGCTTCTGTGCTCAGGGTCACACTAATGGATGGATTTGAGGTTGAGAAGGAATAATTTCTCCCCTGCTCAGTCTGACTTGGTTGGTAATCCTCATCTTGGCTTGTCTGCCAGCCAGGTTTTGCTTTATTCCTGACCATTGCACAGGCTTGGAGAAAGTCCTGCTCATTTTGTTCTGACCGTGGGCTAAACCTGAGCCAATCGGTTAATCACTGGGGAGAAAGAAATCATTGGCTGTGTTGTGAGGTACCTGTGTGGTATTTGATGGCTTGTTTGTAGTTAGACTGAAAGCTGATGTTCTTTCTTCCCAGATAATAAAGATCTGCTTATTAACACCTATAACTTTCTGTTTAAGTATTAACTTGCTGGAAAAGAGAAATTCCAGAGGCAGCTCTGCTGAGAGATAAGTTTGTCTGTGTTCTCACTTGCTTCAGGCAAAATCAGCCATCGTATTCAGCTCAGTAGTGCCAGCTGCTGAAGCCAGCCTGGCTCACCCTACCTGGAGCAGGATGGTGGTGAGGATGTTCCTCCAAACTGCTCTCCTGGCAGATTGCTGGAGGGGTCCAGAAGTGAGCAGTGGGGTAAAAAGAGCCTCTTGGGAAAGGGCCTGGCTGTCCTGGATCAGTGTAGCACCTTGCAAGCTCTGAGGGTGGAGGGTCATCGTGTCTGGGTCATGTTTGTATCTCAAACCTCAGAGCTCCTCAGGGAAAGGCCCTTTGACACAATCTTGGGGACAAAAAGAAACCACCACATGTCTATCTCCAGGACCCCGGATGATCCCTGCAGCCTGTTGGTAATACAGAGACCGGAAACTTGTGTCTACCCTGGAGCGCAGAGGGCAGATTAAAAGCCAGTTCTCTTCCAGTGCCAGGGAAGGACTGAAACCTTTCCCCCATGATGCTACAGGGGGATGCCTTCTAGGGGAACAGACCTCCCCTCCCAAATCTCAGTGGGGCTGGAGGCCCCAGCCTCTGCCTGAGAAAGGGTGAGCTGCTAGGAGGGCAGTGATGGGCAAGGGTATTTGATGAACCTCCCCAGTCTCAGGGACAGATAGGTGCCATCTTGGCCTCGGCTAGGGTGTCAATGTGGCATCAGTCTGCTTCTCCAGGGAGTGTATTTCACCTATGCAGTGTTTCTGCCCAGAGCCGATGCCCCTCTCCTTCACCTTTGCTGCAGTCCTGCCAGAGCACCTGCTTAACTCTCTGAGGATCTTGGACCAGATCTTTTTTTAGGGAGGGATGACTGAATGACCCTACTCAGGAGGCTCAAGACAGGTTTAACAAGTGATGATCTAGTCTCTGCTAATCATTTACTCTTGTATTTAGGCCCCCTGTTGCTCTTCAGGGTCCCATTTTCTCCTGTGTTGTCTACAAGAGCAAGTAAACAAGCTCTGACCCATCAGTTATTTTTCATGCATAGCAGCCTGTTGGCACAGGTGCTGCCAACCGCCTGGTATCTTTTGGGACACTTGTCCTCTCAGCTTTTTGCCTAGGCATTTCTTGATGTTTCTCTCTTGACCCAAATAGCCAAAGTGCTGACAATGCAGTGGTAAATGAGTAAGTGCCAGGCAGATGTAAGGAAAGATCACGTCATACGATTTTGGACTTGTCCCCTTCCAAAATTTGTCCAAGTCAGCAGAGAAAAGAGAGCCAGAGTGGTTTGCTGCCTCATGGTTTGGAAGTGCTGTAGTGGTTTTGCTTCTGACAGAGTCCAGCTCGTGTTGTGCATTTGCAGCTTGCACTCTCCCCTGAATTTAATTGTCCCATTACTGCCTTCCTGCTCCCTCACTTCTCTTGTGAAGGTGCCTGAGGCCTCTGCTCTGAAGAAAAAAATAAAAACAATTGATGTGTTCTTTTTGGGCCATGCTTGCAGAGTGGGGCTCCTGCTGCTGGCAGTCATACCTCTCTGATAGCTGCAGAAGTGGTGCAGAGAAGACCAGGGAGGCTTGGAGAGAGCCTGTATGCTGGAGTGGACTGCTCATGAATATGAGCTATGTGTTTTTGAAAGCCCCTCGGCTGGTGAGAAAATCGGGCTGTGGGGCAGTCTTCCGGTGGAAGAGACTTAAGTCCTTGTCACATTAGGTGTGACTGGGCAGACCTGGGGCAAACACATCTGGGGAAATAAGCCTGCTTCTCCTCCCCAGCTCTTTCCAGGAACAGAGCTGTTGCTTCAATTGTGCACGCTTTTGCCGGCATCGTGGGGGGTCTTGTAAACGGATCCTGCGCCAGGTTATTCCTTTCCTATACTGTTGAGGGTGCAGGCTCCGAGCTGAGAAGGCGTGCTCGCTGGGCACCTGCAACGCGCTGCAGCAGTGAGCGCCCTGCAAGGGACTGGCAAGGGTGGCTCGCTGGACGGGGCAGGGGGACCTCTTTCTGTCTCCAGCCTGCAGCTGCCTGGCTGGCCTCTCCCCAGCCATTACGGCAGCCTGAGGACTCCAGGAAAGCAGGCAGGAGAAACCAGTTAGATCAATGCTATAGATCATGGACTCATTTTCTATGGGGTCAGTCAGCTTCTTGGTGGCACCTGGGAGGGCTGAGAAGCAGGGATGGAAATGAGGTAGAGACCAGAGTCCCAGAAGGGAAGTAAAATCCCAGGTTTCTTTGGAAGGGTTACTGCAGGCCAGTTTGCTTCGCCAGGCTGCCTGTATGAAGTCTCCCATCTTACTTACCATCTAGCACAGCTTGGGATGCTGGGTGGGAGATGGCACATGGCTGAATCCAAGAGTGGGAAGCAACTAAAATAACTTTTGTGAAATGCCAGCATCGTGCTTGAGGAGGAGGAAAGGAGGGCTGGGATGTGGCTACGGTGGAGGGGAACAGTCACATAATCTCAGCTGTGTTGAAAGGGGGTGAAGAAGACCCAATAGCTGAAGTGTGGGTTACTGAGGAGGAGGAAGCTCTAGCAGGAAGAAGGATGCAGCAATTGAGGCAAGAAGAGTGCAGCTGCATAGAGAGAGAAGCGGGCACTTCCCAGAGCAGTGCTAGAAGTTCATAGCTGTTACTGTTCGAACACTTTGAAAGCTGCATCATGTACGTATGTGCCAGCATGCACATAGGGTGTCACTACTTTGGCTTCTCATCTGCTTTTTCCTTTGCTCTTGACACGACAACCTCTCCTAGATGCTGTTTGGCTGCTCCTGTGGAGAGTTCAGGGCCAAACATGGAATGTGAATAAGCTTTGCCTTAACCTCCCCACAGTCGGAGATACAATCCCACCTGTGTTTTTGTGAAAGACTTTTCCTGGTTTCTTGGGAGTAGCTGCCACCATTATTCACAGTCATGAGTGCAGTGCATAATAGCTGTCTGGCCTGGTGTACCTGGAGGCTGGTTCCCTGCTCCTGCTAAGGGTGCTTCAGTAACAATCAAGTAACCTTGCATTGATCTGTCCCTGTCAGTAATGAAGGTGGGAGGGTGACGCTTTAGCCAAGGAAGGGACTGTGCTATATGGTTTCTGGCCAGAGAGCTCAAATAGGTAGGAACAGGAACAGAGGAACGACTATAAAGATAGGGAGCAGATCTGTGCCTTATTCCTTTCCTTTTCCAGTGCTGAAGTATAAAGCTCTGGAAAAGGACATGTTTCTGGTAGGAAATCAGACCATGTGACCAGGTGTCATGGGCTTATTTGTCCTTCTCCCCATTCTTCCAGGTGTTCCAGTACCCCAAGGCCTCCCTTTCCAGAGAAAAGGTCTTGCCGATGCACCAGACCAGCGTTGATGGGGTAGAAGACATGTCCATGCTGGGAGATCTGCATGAAGCTGCCATCCTGCTTAACCTGCACCAGCGCTACCAACAGGGTAACATCTATGTAAGTGCTCAAGCTGGGCCACATCCCTTCTGGATAACAATTTTTGTTTAGCTTCGGGGCTGCCACTTTGCATGTGAAGTACTGATTTTTAGTCTTGTTTCCTGATCATTGTTTCATGTGGATAAAAAGGGAGGTTTTTTTCTGCCTTGCCAGCTGCATCAGACCTGTGAGATCCTACCCCTACCAGAGGGGCCTCTTTGCATCTATAGAAGAACTTCCAAAACATGAACATTCACCTCTAGGCTTTGTGGTAATTGTGCAGCTCTGTATCCTCCATGACCATCTGTGTTTTACAAGCTGGCATTCACGTTCCCCAGATTCCCCATTATTACTGTTGAGAGGTTTATATGGCCAAGCAGACTGGAAGGTGCAGTGTATACCCGTGGTCGTTGAGAATCCCTCCTGATCTGGATAAAGCTACTGCTTGACAAAACTAGGAAAGCAAACCTGTTACCTAATTTTTCTGCTTTTACAGAAAGCAGAATGCAGTTGTGCCTTTTTTGAGTTGCTCTGCTCTCCTTGCACAGATAAATACTTAAAGCACCTCCTGATTTCCCTTGGAGGGGGGCAAGCATCAGGAAAGGGACTTGTGAGGAAAAGCACACCTGGGACGAGGCATCCCTGGAGTGCTGGGATGGCAGCATGCTCTGCTGAGACTTGGAGACGACTAGGAGGATATATTACAAAGACTGCCTTACCTTGCTTTATTCTTACTTTGCTTGTCCATGCTATGTGCACTCAGGGTTTTTCAGATTATGACAGAAAAAATGTAAATCTCTGTGTTGCATAGCAACTGTTACCAAGGCAACCAAACCATATGCACCTGTATTCCAGGAAATGATCAATAAAGTGACCCTGTTTCTGAACCATCTCCTGCACTGGGATGCAGAGGAGACTGCAGATTCTCTTTTTTGTTGCTGTAGACCCCCTTGCCTGTTGTCTGTCAACATAGCCTTGTGACCCTGTGGCAGTACCCACATGCACACACTTTTTTGATGGCCCTTGTCCTTGCTGCTCTTCCTGACCTGTGTTTGACGCGTGCTATGTGTTTGTGCAGCTCTTTGCCCATTTGGGCATATTCCTCCTGTTTCCTCTTCCTCACACTTTGAAATGTGAGGCAGGATTCTCTCCCTTTTCAGTCTGTGCCTTGCACCAGAAATGTCACAACACCAGCACTGTGGCACTGTCACAGCAGCTGTATCTTCTTAAGCCTTTCCTCTACCTCTGATATGTCATTCCTTCTCCTCTTCAGCATTAGTTCTGTGGCTTCTCCATCCATGTGTAAAGGTGTTAAAAGTTTAAATATGATGTCATTTTTTGCCTGTGCATAGTGTATGAATGTCACCTGTGCACCTCAGATCTGAATTTTTGGGAGATTTATGGATGGGCCTGACTTCTGTAATATGCTGAGCACTGAGAAGAAACCCTCAGTGCAGGACTGTAAGCCCCTTTTTGAGTGGGACTGTATCTGGGTATGTGTTTGCACAATGTCTGACCTGAAGGACACTAAACTGGACAAGCACCGTTTTGCATTTCTGCAGTGCAGACATTAATATTGCAGTTACCGTATCACTAACTATTAGTTTTTGTCATAGCCCTGCTGTGTATAGTTTTCAGTTAAGCAGAAATTGAGAATGTCAGCTGTAGTGCCACCTAATGACTTGCAGTGATCTGTGAAGACCATGAATGTTACAGCAATTGAGTTCATTTAATATTGTGCTCATGGTATGCACAGAGGGAGCATGGTAGGCTAAGGTTGCAGACGAAGCTGTACTGAGAGGAGTTATGCCTATCAGTCAGGGCCAAAAATATTTGGAAGGAAATCAGAGAGATCAGGTGAGAAATACCATAATTTTCTGGAAAACAAATTCACCTGAAGGAATGGGTAACCAGGATTACTCGTAACTACTACTAAAAATAAAAATACTAAATAAATAATAATAAAAATAAGTAATGAGGGGATGGAAAACTGAGAACATGAAATGGACTACTGCTGTGAAAAAGGGCAGTGCAGTTCTGAGCTGTATGCCTGGAGGCATTCTACCATGAGCTCCTAAAGGGGTCAGGGAGTGTAGGTAGTGATACTGATGTGGTACCCATAATTAATGTGCCACAGGAGTACTGACAATCTCAACAGTACTTTTTGTTTTCCAAAGGAATACTATTCAAGCTCTACCAAACTGTTCAAGGAAATTATGTGAGCACAGCAACAGCCTGCAGCATTCACGAGTGTATCTTCCCCCTTCATTCCTGCAATTCCTGTATCCCTTAATAAAAGCAGACCCAACATAATGTGATGTATAAATGAGCCAGGGGCTGTACAGCCACATTTTGTGCTGTCCCTAGCTCTGCCATGCCTAACCACCCAAGTAGGATCTATTGTCTTGAGAAGCAGACATGCAACGTGTGGTTTGTCCCGCCCTACAGAGTTCTCTGGGGATGATCACTCCTTGCTAATAGAGTGGCTGGTTGATGCACAAATGCTACTTCTATGAAAAATTGTGGATGTAAATTGTCTGTAAGGGACTGCAGGTGATGAGGATACTGCAACTGGGAGATGGAAGAGTTTCCTAGAAACAGCTTTGAAAGAGAAGGCTGTACTGGAAGAAGTTCTAGAAAGGACTGTGGTGGGAGCTCTGTTCCTTGGGAGAGCTAAAACTAGAGTGGGAAATCCAAAATGAAACATCTGAGAGGAAGAAATGCTGTGAAGGTCTGGGAGAAGTGTTAGGATGGACATCTCTGTCTTGCAGTCTCTGGACAATGTCTGTTGCTCAACTGGTTGTACAGTGCTCCTTCCTGATCCATATTTTCTCTCTCAATGCTTTCCCATTTCCTCCCATCCATCTTGCCAAAGATCATCTGCTTGCTTATTGCTTTTATCACCAACGTATTATATTTCTGCCCACAAAGGTCCATGTCAGAGGGTCCTCAGGACTTGTGCCATGCTAGCCTGTTCATACCAATAATGCAATTAGGCCTAGGTGGTGGTTTTTTTCCCCTGATGATCTGTGACTGCTGCTTTAATAAATGAGCCTTAGATATTTTGGAGACTACAGCATCTTAGTCTGGCTTCTGGCTTCAGAGCTTGGCATTGCAGTATGGCCCCAGATTTCATTTGGCAGGGAGAAAGCATGCATCTTTCTTGTCACCAAGTGTTTTATTTACAGCTTCTCCAAGGGATGCACACAAATCCTTGTATGTGTATGTGGTGACTTGTAGTTCATGGTTTGGAAGTAACACTATATGTTGTCCCTGGCCACAAAGCTTGGCACCTACTGCAGCGATCTAAGTGTTTCCTCTGTCACCCCTGCTGAGAATGGGTATTCCTGGAGTAGAGCAGCCCAAGATGTCCCTGTGAAGGAGGCCACCACACCAGCAGCAGGACTGAAGCTGGATGTTGACCATATTACAAAGCCATTGTTAGGAGAGAGGTGGCACCATTGCTCTGAACTGCAGCTCTGAGAATAACTGGATTTGAGCTGGTTGGCTGAACAGAAGAAGTCATGCCCCAAAAAACAAAATGCATTTCCTTCTGACTTCACAAAAGAGTATGTTTGGAATTCAATATTAGGCTTTGGGTATTTTATTTTAAGCCTTACTAAGTCTTTTCTTGAACTGTGAGACTTTCAAAATAAATATTTTCAAAAGAAAATGTTTAGAAAATGTGGAAATAAAGTTTTGACTTGAAATCCTGAGCTTCATCTTCAGCTGTTAATTTTGTTTTGGCTTACCCAATGATATAAGCTGCTCCAAACAGCATTTTTCAGCAGAATTAAAACAATATGCTTTAGTGTGTGCACGTGTGTGCATGTGTGTGTGTCTATGTGTCCTGTTCAGAAGGTGCTTGAACCCTGCCAAGTCCCCTCCACTTAAGACTGTGTACAGGGTCATTGAAGGTATCTCCTGACACTCCTTCAGTGCTGGCTGTGCTTTTCAGCTTCAAGCACAGTGCATGGTAGCTGGGTATGAAGGTGGCTTCGTGTTTTTAATTTGTGTAAGCTTAATTTAGCAAGACAACAGACTAAGAACATTTTATTGTGAAGCAGCAAAATTCAAACTGCCCCATCCATATCCAGTCATGCAGCCCCTGCCCTGGGGTTTGACATTCTTTGCCAAATTGGGGAGTGCTCTGCTGAAGCCCAACTTCCTTATTTAGGCTTTCTCCCATCACCATGAGTTATTTCAGGGTCCGGGTTTGTCGTGATTTTTTTTTTTCAGGAGCTTTATTTCCTTGCTGTGTTTTGTTTTCTCCCCCTAGACAAACATTGGTTCCATCTTGGCATCAGTAAATCCCTACAAACCCATCCCTGGTCTGTACAGTGTGGATGCCATAGACCTGTACAGACAGCACCGCCTGGGTGAGCTGCCTCCCCATATCTTCGCCACCGCTAACGAGTGCTACTGCTGCTTGTGGAAGCGTCATGACAGCCAGTGTGTTCTGATAAGGTTAGAAATGGGAGAACCGGCTACTCCCTGACGGCATTACACGCCTCGCTCCTGCTGCTCCGTTTGCAATGACATCTGCCTAAATATCCACACCGTCCTACCCTACCCTTTGCCTGACCCCTGCTTGCCGCAGCGGAGATGCTACGTGTTTATTCTCGGAGATCATTTCTCTGCCACGGGTGGGATGGTCATTAGCTTGGTCTGTCCTGGATTTGTGAATGGAACGTATATTTTTTTCTTTAACAGTGGAGAAAGCGGAGCTGGAAAGACTGAGAGCACCAAGTTGCTGCTGAAATTTCTGTCAGCCATGAGCCAGACCTCCCTCGGGGCCCCTGCATCTGAGAAGAGCACCTGTGTGGAAGAAGCCATCCTGGAAAGCAGGTATGGTCACCCCCACGGGTGCCACGTGCCCTGTCCCGCAGAGGCCCGGCAGGCCCGTGGATGCCGGCGTGCTGGGACAGCCTGC